CTATTTTCTGACTCTTCAAGAAAGTTAAATGTCTTTATACATTTTATAGTTAATAAACTGAATGCAATATTTAGTATCTTCATATACTATCTATTGTTGCTTCTATTCTAAAATCCTAAATTATTTTGTATTTTGTTAAAGTCTTGTGTAGACTTTGTATAGAATCTATTAAATTATAGTCATCATACTATAGTTGAGCAGCTTCTGTTATTATTATAATTAAAAAAAAAAAAACTACAGTTTAATATTGGGTTCCAATCTTTTGCCCAACACTCATTTGCTCGACAATAACTTTCCTGACAACCATTTTCCTAACAATCATCTGCCTAACACTTTTGTCTGCCCTACACTTTATTTGCCTGACACTTTTATCTGCCTAACAAATTTATCTTTCTGACAATAACCTTTCTGACAATCATCTGCCTAACACTTTTATTTGCCTAACACTTTCATCTGCCCAACAAATTTATCTTCCCAACACTTTCATTTGCCTGACACTTTCATTTGCCTGACACTTTTGTTTGCCTGACACTTTTGTTTGCCTGACACTTTTGATTGCCTGATACTTTCATTTGCCTGACAAATTTATCTTTCCGACACTTTTATTTGCCTGACACTTTTGATTGCCTGACACTTTCATTTGCCCAACAAATTTATCTTCCTGACACTTTCATTTGCCCGACACTTTTGTTTGCCCAACAATTTCATCTGCCCAACAAATTTATTTGCCCGACACTTTCATTTGCCCAACACTTACACTTGCCTGACACTTTCGCTTGCCCAGCACTTTCACTTGCCTAACACTTTCGCTTGCCAATACTTTTGCTTGCCTAATACTTTCACTTGCTCGATGCTTTTGCTTGCCCGACACTTTCACTTGCCTGATATTTTCGCTTGTCCAACACTTTTGCTTGCCTAACACTTTTGCTTGCCCAACACTTTTGCTTGCCCAACACTTTTGCTTGCCTAACACTTTCACTTGCCTGACACTTTCACTTGTCTGATACTTTTGTCTGCTCGATATTTTCATTTGCTCAACATTTTATCTTCTTGATGCTTTTATCTGAATAAAATAAAACTAATTAGTAAATATTCATGATTATTTTAATTA